TTTAAAATATATATTATATATATGTATATATGAAAAATATATTAAAAATGCATGTGGGTACTCAAATGAAAGCTCTTGATGAGTATAGCATCGGGATAAGCTTATATCTTTAAAAACGTCAATAGTTAAGAAAGTACAGTGCAATTTAACAAGTCATTATTTTACAAAGCAAAATTTTATTTATTTATAGTTCACAAGTCACGGCAGTCACACAGTGACTGCAAGGTTGCTAGTGATAATGTTAATATTATAATGAATAATTTATAATAATAATAATGATAATAATAAATATTGACAAAATACTTCTTGAATTATAATTATAATAAAGATTTAAAAACAAAGTTAAGAAAAGTTAAGAGGCTTACCTCAGAGGTGCCTTGACACTGATGAGTGTACTCGAAATCAAAGAGACCATAGCGGCACTCTCCAGCACCACCTTTCTGCAAATCTTCAAGAAAAGCATCGTAAGCAGCGTCACGTGCTCCAATCACCTCAACGTCTATTTGCTTTTCATCTTTAATATAAAAAATGACGTATCGGTGTTTTTTATCTTTCTTTATTTCTTCATATGTCGTCTTACAGACGTCAGCTACAGTTACTCCAGATGCCTGTAAAACAAAGCAAATAATTAATGAGTAAATTTAAATAAGTCATTTTTTTTTTTTTTTTTCAAGGTGTCAAAATATTTTTAATGATTATGATAATTATATTCCTTAAATAAATAAATTAGTCATTGTTCTCGTTTATTTCTTAAATACAAAAAAGATTGTTGATTCATGGTCAAAAAAATCGGATCACTGCACATTGATGGTAAAACAACGGTAGATAAAATCCGTGCCACGTGCCCAAGTGCGACGACGGATAACTTTAGACGTCAATTTAAAGTTACTTTTTTGAACAGTATAATTTAGAACGCGTGGGAACAACTTATTTATTTATAACCATCCCTCAAAAATAAATTCATTTTATTAATACACCTCTAACACCGCCAGTGCTTTAATTACATGCTACAACAAGAATAAATATTTATTAAAGACTATTGCACTTGTAATAAAAATAAAATTGATTAATCGGCTTAATTTAAAAACTCCTCAACTAAAATTATCAAAAAAAAAAAAAATCAGGATGAAAATTAACTTGGCAGATATTTAATAATTTTAAGACTTTTTGTAACAAATAAATTATGGCAAAAAAAATGAAAAAAAAAATTGATATTTAGAAATTTAAAAAATTAAATATGCAATTTTTTAAAAATAGTTAAAAATTTTTTTAATAAACAAATTAAATATTTAATAATTTTTCTAATAAATAAATTACTATGACATTAAAGTTAGCAGTCACTTGAACATTTTTTAATTTTATTTAACAAACAAATTTGCTTTAAAAAAATTATTTATCTATTAAAAAAATTTTAACTATTTTCAAAAAATTGCATTTTTAATTTTTACATGTCAATTTTTTTTTGCCATAATTTGTCACAAAAATTCTAAAAAATTATCAAATATCGGCTAAATTAATTTTCATTAAATTACTGCATAAAAAAAATGGACATTTAGAAATTTTAATAAATTAAAAATGCAATTTTTTAAAAATAATTTTTTAGAACAAATTTTTTAGTTAAATAAAATCAAAATATAGTCAAGTGACTGCTAACTAATGTCATAAAATCTGGAGACAAATTTTTGGCAGACATAAATTTTTCCCAATACAATTATTTATAAATTTTTGGAAGCTAACTCGGTTAGTTGGTCAACCGATGACAGCTACGACGATGACGATGATGAAGAGGACGAGTGTGTTTAGCAGGCTTGGATCCAAATATTACCCGAGTACTGACAAACAATATTTAACTCTATCTCAAAGCTATCGGTTGCGACATTTTTGGTTGTCCCCTTGGGGAAGAAGAAATAATAATAATAATTTTGAACGTCTGGTACAATAATTCACGTATGGTATAAACTCTGATGTGTACGTGCAAATCTGCTACACACACTCGGATGTCCCTGAGGTACATACACGCATTACAGAGAATCGGCTACGCTGAGAAAAGTGGGCTGCGACCCCGTCGATCGATATCACCTCGTCAATGGGGATGTCGGTTCGGTTAACGGAGGCCAGCTCCCTCTGGGGCGGTATGACGAGAACGCCCAAGGTCAAACCAGAGATGACTCACCATAGGTATTATACGTTTATACTTGATACGTTTTTTCATACATTTTGTTTTATACATTTTATTCTTTGCTCTTAAACTTCTTTACAGTAGTCAAGCTTTTAATATGACATTTAGCTCCTGTGTTTTTATTTATTTATTATGGAAATAATTCTCCTTTTGACCAAAAATCTAAATGATTAAAAAAATTACTAAAATTTTTGAGAATACATAAATTGAAAAAAATTAAATTAATAATAATAATACTAAAAATGTTGGATAGTATAAGCAATACAACCAAAATTGCTCGTGATATTAAAATTAACTGACGTTCAACAATTTTTGATTTTTTTATATTAATTAAATTAGAACAAAAAAAAATGTTTTTACAAAATTGCACGTATAATTTTTAAAACTTTCTACATGTGAATTTTTTTCAATTCATTTTTTTTTAATAATTTTTTCAATAAAAACAATAAAAATTTTTAGATATCGGCTAACTTTATTGTCATAAATTTCTCATGAAAATTAAGTTAGCCACTTAAAAATTTTTAGAATTTTTTTTTTATTGAAAAAATTATAAAAAAAAAATTCATTTGTAAAAAACTTAGAAAATATCAAGTGCAATTTTTAAAAAATGTTTTTTTGTTCTAATTTAATTATTAAAAAATAAATCAAAAAATTAAAAACCCCGGCTGATTTTATTATTATTGAAAATTAATTTAGCAGATAGTTTATAATTTTAAGAATTTTTCTAAAAAAATAAATTGACATTTACAAATTGTAAAAAACTAAAAATGCAATTTTTTTTTTAAATAACTTGGAGTAAATATTTTAATTAAATAAAATTAAAAAATGATCAAGTAACTGCTAACTTTAATGTCCTAAATTAAACGGGAATTTTTACAAGCTTGCTTCTTTATGAACACTTGACTAAAAATTTAATTTAAATTCATTAATAAAACTTGTTTTTTTTTTTTTTTTTTTTTTTTTTTTTAGTTTAATTAAATAATACCGGGGAAGAATGTCGAGAAAGATATTGAAATCTCAGTTGTCGGATATAATATTGCATATTGTATATTTATACATGATATGAGAGCAAATGAGATGGAAATTTGTTAAAAGTGCATGAACAAATGTACAATAGTATCATTGAGAGAAACTGTCTCATGCACGCTGGGAGTGAAAGAAGAAAAGAAGTGAGAAAGAGAGAGTGTATAAATATTCGTCGGGTATCGGATGGACTCCGAAAAGAGCCGGGGAAGATAGATGAGAGTCTGTACATGTCCGCGTATGTATATATATATGGATGAATAGATGGGTGGATAAATGTATGAGTCAGAGAGAGAAATCCAGAGAATTTTTTTTTTAAAATTAATTTTAAAAGATTTTAGTAATAATGCAACGATGCGTTAACAAATAACGGGCGCTAGATATTAACACGTCACGCGAGATTTATATTTATACATTTATAAAGATAGATATTTATATCTGATTTATGAAAAAAAAAAAAAGATACTGATTTGCAGGCTATTGATATTGAGATAAAATAAATTTTAGTGATTGCAGATGAGAACAAGGTGAAGTGAGCAATTAAATATAATGAAAGAGAGATAGAGGTAGACGCGTAATCTTAATCTGTCAATCGATGTGTGTTTAATGTGTTCACAGTATGTACAGGGAAGTGATTCATTGGCTTCCTGGAAAGGACAAGTACATACGGCACTCCCTTGACGACATTAAAAAGTCCAAATGTCTCTTTGGTTATTTCATTTAATAAAATAAAATAAAATTAACCAACCAATCAACGGGCAAGCATCCTTAAAAAAAACATTTCACAAAATTAATTAAAGTTATTTTCCGTACAGTAATTATCAATAAAAAAATGTAAATATAAATAATTAAATAATCCCGGGGAATATTTAAGGAATAAAATGTGCTTGCGGCTAAGTGCCGGGATAGAAATGGCGACCGGCAGAGCGTCCACCTCACTTCCACCTCGTCATAACCACAAAGTTGTTAGCCCACCGGACTACTTCTGTCGCGTACGTTAAAAAATCTTCCAGCAGTACTTGAATTTACTATTTATTTAACTCCCGAATTTACAATAAACTAAATTACACCATTAAATGTCACATTATTAATAAAATAATACTGTAATATTTACCATTTTTAGTAGCAGTCACAGTTCAGTAGCAGCGAGTAAAAATGAGTAAACAAGACAAGCAAGCAAGCACACTACCAACACTTTTGTAAGAATCTACGTCTGTGGTAAAACTGGGTATCTACTCGACGTCCAGTTCAGTTGGGGGTCGCGTACATACACCACGACAGCAACGACAAGGAAGGGAGGATCCTCACAGCGGCTGACGATACCCGTCTCACATACACACACCATTAATTCACTGTATCACTACGCGTGCGCGCGCATGTTAAATACAAGCGACACTATTGGTTGTATTCCAGTGTATCCGTAAATATTCATTTATAATTTAAATTTTATTATTATTTTCTGACACTTCAGCTGTCATTTTTTTTCTCTAAAATTACTTCCAGGATTTTAGAATAATTTTACAGTGACAATTTATTTTAAAATATGATCCTTTAATTAGAAACTAGCTTAATTGCTAATGCCGGTAGGACTTGCTTGCGCGCATTAATCGCGCTACGCGGTCCAGGAACCGGTGCGCGATTTATATAAAACGCTATTTTTAAATGTTACAATCTGAAGATGAGAGCGGGTTTCAATGCTCGACAAAAATATAAACGACCAAGCGTGATATTAAGATAGAGATACTCAATTATTATGACTACCTTCAATGAAAAATATATTTTTTTTTTTTTTTTTTTTTTTTTTTTTTTCATTATTCATTAATCATTATTAAAAAATTTCTTCTTTTAAATAAATTTATTACCTGTTGATATTTCGTTAACACGTTCGATGCACTCGACGTGACTTGGCATGTTAAATATCAATGGTGAATTAACAACGAAATTAGTCATCGTGATGACGTGCCAACGGTATCAACCAATCGTCGATTTAGATGTAGGGAAATTGCCTTATATGGGCAGCGTACAGCGAGCATTGCAAACGCCGGTGTACCCGCTTGAGGGAGACACCACCTTGCCGCTGCACAGGACATTTTGAGTTTAAGTGCGCGCGCGCACATTAATTACAAGTTAATCTCAAAATAAGTCATTGATTAATTTGGAATCGAAAATTTTGTTTGCTTTTTTTTTAAACTTTATTCTTAATATTTTTTAATGTCATAATACACTGATCTTATTAGCAATTAAATAAGAATTACATTATCAATAGCTACTTAGCTTATAAATCAAATTTATCGATTTTATGTACATGTATACAATCATTATATTGATAATAATGTAAATTATTGGTCGATTATTTATTTTAACATAATTATATTAATATTAAAAAAAAAATTATTCGTACAATTATTAAAGTACATTTAATCAGCTTAATTATTTTTTTTGTGTTTGACCAACGTTTTATTGTATTAAGGAACTTCACGGAAATAACAAGATGACACTGGATATTATCACAGATTATAATCGGTGATTTGTGGTGAAAAAAAAATTTTAGATAGTAGCTAAAAAAATCCAGATTATACTGCGTGATATTTGGATTATACTTATTATTTTTGACATTAAAATTAGCAGTCACTTAACAATTTTTTAATTTTATTTAACAAAAAAATTATTTTTTGCTGTAATTTATTTTTTATAGAATTTCAAAAATTATTAAATACATGCTAAATTAATATGAAAATTAATTTAGCAGATATTTGATAACTTTAAGAATTTTTTTAACAAATAAATTATGGCAAAAAAAAAGTAGAAAAAAAAAATTAACATGTAGAAATTTAAAAAAATAAAAAATGCAATATTTTTAAAATAATTTTTTGGAAAAAATCTATTTGTTAGAAAAAAATGAAAAATGGTCAAGTTACTGCTAACTTTAATGTCATCTAGATTATACTCATTATAATCTGGATTAGACTAACTGAAATTATACTATCTGAAATTTTTTTTCACTCAGTATAATTTGGGATGATATTCAGTGTCATCTTATTCTTTCCGTGTGCACTTATAAATTATTTTACAGTTTCAATTTTTTTTTTTTTACTTTAATACTGTTCCTGTAAAAATAAACGCTGTATCTAACACTTTATTCACACTATTTTTAACATTTTTCAAATAACACGACATGATACGTAACTAAAAAAAAAAAAAAACTAAACTTACATAAAATTCTTTCTAATAAAATGGTTTAAATAAAAATAATTATAAAATAAAAAATGAAGTCTTTGATTCCTACAAGTAGATAAATTTCTACAATTTAAATTGGATCAGTCAAGTGTCTTTACTCATTCATTTTTAAAAAATGTGTTAATAAATTGAGCGCAATGCTTACCTAATTAACAATTAAAAATAATAATAGGTATAATTATATTATAATAGTAATAATAATATAAAACAAAATCTTAAAGGCTATTAATTATTAATCTATTTACAGTATTAATGGACACAATTCCATAGAAATTGTTTATTAGTTTTCTTAGAGTCGGATCTAATTGAGTTTCATAAATATTAGTTTATAAATATTCTATTCACCTTGACAACACAAGTTGGGTGAATAAATCCAGAGTCGCAATGTTTACTATCAATACGTGCTATTAAATATATCTCAAATATTATGTATATGCTTATTTATTCCACCTGACGCGGTATTTCAACAAAATAATTGCCCCATATAACTCTTTTAATAAATATAAACTAATTTTAATTATTCTTCTCTGTCGCTCAATGATCCATTATTTTTATTTATAATCATATTGTAAAAAGTAGAGTGTTAGATGAGACCCCGTTTTTTCTTATAGTCTTCGAGATTCAGTGATCGTCTTGGACCAGTGTCTTTAATGTTACTTACTGGTTTAGGTAACACACTAACAGGATTACCTTAAGAAAAAAAATAAAAATTAATTCTCAATCGACAGACTAATAAATGAAGGGGGTCTTCTGGCTTGACGCCCTGATTTTTGTGCATCGTTTTGTAAAGACTAATGAAGAGATAGAACTTTGAACTCTTTACCATTTATTTATACATATTTTAAGAGTAAGGTAAAAGTTATTGACACTGGCCTAGTTGTTTGACACTTGCAATTTTAATCTAATTAAAAAAATAAAATCTTCCCAAAAAATCAATTATCTTAAAATCTATAATTCAAAAATGATATTTATCAATTTCTTAGTTGATTTGTTTTTTTTTTTTTAATTAAAATAAAATTGCAAGTGTCAATAACTAAGCCAGTGTCAATAAATGGGTCTTTTACCTTATAGAGTTAAATTTTTAACTAAAAACATTCAGTAGATTTAAAGTTATATTAAACGTGAGATTTTTTTCTCATCGTGAGAGTAAAGAAGATGAGCTTGAAGGGTTAAATGTACAGATTAAAACCCCACCACCAGGTTTTTTTTTTTTGTTTCTTATAAGCCAATCAGCTGATATAACTTTAATTCTACTGAATGTTTTTAGTTAAAAATTTAACTTTATACTCTTAAAATATATATAAAAATGATTGTTAAAAAATTCAAAGTTCTCTCTTCATTGGTCTTTACAAAAAAATCCCAAAAAAATGCTCAAAAATCAGAACATCAAACCAAAAAACGTTAAATAAAAATACTTACTTGGAATAGGTACTTCCAAATCTATTGTAATATCAAAATCATGAGCATTAAACAAGTCTTCACTACTCTGTTTCTTCTTCGGCTCTGGACCATTTTCCTTATCATTAATATTTTTAGCATTTTCAGCAGCTTCATCACTATCTTTAGTAGCTTCATCAGAATCTTTATCTGAATCCGCAACGAACTTCATCTTTGGCTTAGTACTACGCCTAGTGAACGGGTCTTCTTTTTTCTTTCCTTTGTTAGCTCTTACTTCTTCCATAATAGCTTTTTCAGCTTCCTCAACATTCTTCTTTCTATTACGATCATTAATATAAGAAATACTTGAAATCGTAGCAGTCCGCATTTTATCCAGCTCCGAAGCTCGCTCTTCGAGTTCTCCAAGTTGTTGATTCAAGCGACTGGCAGTTTCATCATCACCACGACCATTGGCAACATCTCTTTCACGCAGCAGTTGTGCCTTTTTAAAGGCATAATTATAAGGAGTCTGTTTAAACCTTTCTTTCTCCCGAACTATTTTTTCAACATCCTCATCCTTAAACTCGTAAACCATCGCTTCTTTAATATCCTTAAGCTTTAGCTCGACTTCCTCAAAAGTCGGCATAGAAATTCCCTGAAGAGCACAAGTTTCTTTCCACTTGCAGAATTCTGAGTCAGTGAAATCTTGATTTGATACAAACTCCAATCTGAAAACACGCTCTTGAGCTCCGTGTCTTAATCTCAAGCCTTTGTTTGTTCTAGTGCCTCCAAGCTGGTAAATTTTACTGGTCTCGCAGACACCACTGATTTCAGCGACTCGGTAAACAGGCTTGCCGTTGTTGTTACCAATACCAACTCTGACAAAACAGCCACGTACAACACGATCAAAAAATGGCAAATGAACAAAACGCTCCATTTTGTGCCGAGACAATCTCACTTTATTAAGATCATCTCTATGTCCGACGTACAGAGGCTTCTTCGGTTTGACAGCTTTGTTGCTAGTCACTGATTTTTTGTCATCCGAGTCAGAATCTCGATCATCCCCACTAGATGAAGAACGTCGAGAAGAAACCTTGGCTGTCTCTTCTTCTTCGGCACTGTCCGAAGAACCGCTGTCGTCAGAATAAACATCCGAAGTTTTTAATTTAGTTTTATTGCCCTTGTGATCGTCTTCGAGCTCCTCCTCGTCATCTTTTGACTGTTGTTGCTGCTGCTCTTGTTCAATCCTCAGCTTCTCTTTCTCCTCACGTTCTTTCTTCTCCTCACGACGAGCTTTCAAGAGCGTCATTGCCTGGAATTTCTTGTCCTGTTTTTCCTCAATTGTCTTTTTACGGTCTTTACTTCTTTCTTTGAGATCAGGAGCTCGTTCAATTTTCTTCTCCTCAACACTCTTTTCCTTTTTCTTGTTCTCTTTCTGCTTTTTCGCCTCCTGTCTTTTGGCCATTCTCAATTTTTTTTCGATGTCAAATCGCGTTTTCATAAGCTCGCGCTTTTCAATACGCTTATAAATTTCCTGCTCACGCTCTATCTCAGTCATCTGAGCCAACCTTGCTTGATCTTCAGCGTCACCCATCAAATTTTCGTCATACCCATCGTTAAATTCTTCATCACTTGCATCTGAGACACTGAGCTCCGAATCAGATACTTCACCTGTAGAAAATTATTCATTGCAATTATAAATAATTAACATTACACCAATTACTTTTATTATTAATTACTCCAAATTGTTAAAAAATCACCCTTGAAAAAAATAAGAAGTTAGACAAATTGCTAATTAGACCATCAATATTGCAATATTATTAATAACACCGTTAATTTTTTGAACTTTGAATTTTTTTCTTTTTAATTTTCTCTAGACGTCTAATTAATTCTAATAATATTTCAAGTTTAGATCTAAAAATGCAATTTTTATGAGTGTGAATTTATCAAACATCTGATAATTTTTTAATAATTTATAAACAATTTATTTGTTACAGAAGAAATAATATAAAAAAAATGCATATAGAAATTTTCACAAGTTTTTTCTATGCAATTTTTTAGATTTTTTTTACAACCATTAAGTTAAAATAAATCTACAAATTATCAATAACTTTATAAAGCCCCTAACGGAGCGGGCGAGTCTTAGCTAGTATTAAAAATATTTAAGTGAAATAATAAATACCTTCTTCAGGCTCAGAAGCTTTTCCAGAATTTCCTTCACTGCCACTGTCATCAGAATTTGGCTTGTGAATTTTTCTTTTATTTCTTTTTGTAGGTATTTTCTTTTTAGTTTTATTAGACTTGGCACTCCACTCATCATCAGAGTCAGAGGTGCCAGAGTCTGATGAGGCATCATTCTGTGACCTTTCCTTTTTCTTTTTAGCCAAAGAAAGAAAATCCTAAAACGCATATCAATATTAATATTAATAAACATTTTTTAAAAATGTGATTATTAAATATTAATAAATTATTGATCAGTACAGATGTTCAAGCAATTACGCAATAAGTAAATTTTCTGTGTTAGTTGTAAATTATTAATAAATTATCTAGTTAAAAAAAATGAAGCCTGCCAATCAAAATATAGGTTATTTTACTTACGTTGTCCAAATCAGATCCATCATCTGATCCACTTCCACTGCTATCGGAATCAATTAATGCTTGATTCTTCCTTTTCGGCATTTTGTTAAATAAGTATTTAAACGTTAAATAAGTTAAATAAAATAATATCGTTATTAAATATAATAAACTCAATATCACAAACAAGACCACAACTCACTGGCAATAAATCCAATGGACGACGACTAACAACTTTCGAGGACTTAAATATATACACTGATAGTGAAGCTGGCGAGTTAGTTGTACTCGAGTGTCTCGGTACGGGTGCACTGCGCATGCGCTTTAGCAACTTGTGAGTTGGTTTATTAACGTGGAGGGAGAGGGGAGAGAATAATGGCGGCAATGACCGATGATAATTATATACATGAATTTAGTATACTAACTGCAAGACCCGCGCGCTCAACAATAAAAATATACTGCCATCTAGTGGAAATAATTTAAACCAAAAATATGTTTCTTTAAAATTTAAAACGTCATTATAAAAATTACTTACAAGTTTTCTTTCTATTTAAAATGTCAGAGATAAAGAACTTTTTCTCAAAAAACAATTATATTAATTTACATTTAAAAATTAAATAATTTTTTTGTTTACTAATTTTGAAATCATCTGAAAAAAAAATATAAGATATGAAAAATATTTTTTTTTAAAAATTTAATCGTAAAAATTATGAAAATTAAATTAACTGACATCTGAAAATTTTAAGACATTCATAAGTTAGCTGTCACTTGACATTTTTTTAATTTTATTTAACAAAAAGATTTTTTTCAAAAAATTATTTTTATAAAATTGCATTTTTTATTTTATAAAATTTCTAAATGTCTATTTTTTTGCCATAATTTATTTGTTATAAAATTTTTTTAATTATTAAACATGTGCTACATTAATTTTCACAAAATTTTGGTGATTTATTTTATTAAAAAACAATTAAAGAAAAAATTTCACATTTAGAAAATTTATGACATTAATGTTTGCAGTTACTTGATCATTATTTAATTTTATTTAACAAAAAAATTTATTCCAAAAAGTTATTTTTAAAAAATATTGCATATTTAGTTTCTTAAAATTTCTAAATATCAATTTTTCTCATAATTTAATTGTTAGAAAAATTCTTAAAATTATCAACTTTCTGCTAAGTTAATTTTCCCAGAAAATTTCAAAAATTATAAGTGCAATTTTTTAAAAATATTTTTTTAGTTCTAATTAAATTAATAAAAAAAAGTCAAAAATTGAACGGCTAATTTTAATTATATTAAAGTTAGTTGTTTGACGATTTTTTAATTTTATTTAACAAAAAAATTTGTTCCAAAAAATTACTTAAAAAAAAATTGTATTTTTAATTTATTAAAATTTCTAAATATTCATTTTTTTAGAAGTATCATATAAAACTTAACTAATTAATATTTATTTTAAAATAAAAAAAAAAATAATTTACAGAAATTTAGTTAAAATTAATTTAGCAGACATTTAACAATTTTTATAATTTTTTTTAACAAATAAATTATGGAAAAAAAAATTGACATGTAAAAATTTTAAAAAGTTAAAATTGCAATTATTTTAAAAATAATTTTTCAAAACAAATTTGTTCATTAAATAAAATTAAAAAATTGTTATAACTGCTATCTTTAATATCATGAAATTTAAAATTATTATTGTAAAGTGAGCTAAATATTTAATTGAATATCCTGCATAGTGTTTTCCTTGAGTTATCATGCAAGTATGTATCGATAACGCGCAACGACATTACTGTGAATAAGACTTAATATTTTATATAAATACATATATACACACATATATTTGGATATTTCGTGGATCAAGTGTCAAAAAACTGACGTTTTAACTGTCAAATTGTTTACTATTATCTATCCGACAGTGTTTACTCACCAAAACATGTGTTAAGACTTCAGATAACCATCAAGTGCAGTCAAACATTAAAAAAATAAAAGTTATAAGAGAAAGTTCTAACCATATGATCTAATAAAAACTTAGTCTGCTAAAAAATTAGAAACACTACAAGTATTGAGTGTTAATTAAAATTAATTTACTATTGCAGTGTTCGTTGATTTGAAGAGTTTGTTTAATGGAATGTCGGTGTAGTTATTTTATAAAAGATGATGACTCCAATGAGCGAGGACGGAGGTCCTTTGAGGGAATGGGCACCATTGACGAGTCTCCTGCAACAGATACCGGTTAAACTCCAGAGCGGAATATTCACCCAGGACATAAATTTCACCTGCATCGACGCAGTTCCGGAGTTTATAGCCATCGGAACAAACTGCGGGCTAGTTTACTGGTTCGACAGAGCATCTGGAGAATTGCAGCGTCTGAGATGTGAGAATGCCAGCTCTAACATCACTTGTTTACGGGTAATATCCACAGTAGACTACATGGTAGCTGCTGGAAATAATCTTGGAGTAGTTACAGTTTTTCAGATTCCAAAAAACCTTCCAGAATCTCTGCCAGACAGCTTGAAGCCGAAGCAAAAGAAGCAAATAGAGCGTTACAATATCGGAGGGCTTCATAAGAGTCCAGTTAGTGCTGTCGAGTGGTCTAAAAATGGAATGAAGCTATTTAGCGGTGATCAAGACGGACTTGTTGTACTTACAGAGATTGATTTTTATATGCATTTATCCAAATCTTCAGAATTGTTAAACGAAAAGTACGCAGTTGTGCAATTGAGCTACCAGCAAGGATTATTGCTGGTGTCTACGCTCTTCAGAACTATTTTGGTAGATAAAAATCATAATAGCAAAGTTTCTCAGGTTGGTCAGAAGGAGAGAAAAACTTTGGGGAAATTAGGAGCCGTTTTTGGGACACGGTTGACTCCAATTCAGGAGCCAATTATTTATGCCAGTAGACCGGGATTGAGATTGTGGGAAGCTGATAAGACTGGTACTGTACTAAAGACTTTGATTTTTAAAGAAGCGGTTCAGAGTAACAACACTCAGGTACTTTTGTTGAACCCCGCGCCTGAAATGCTGAAGAAAAAACGCGGAGAGCCTACTTTTGGTGTAGTTCTCCCTTTTTGCGATGATCTTTTTGTTACTTACAGTGAAGACTATATTCATGTTATTAATCCGGTTACAATTACAATTACATCTGTAGTTAACGATCTCAGAAAAATTACAGATGTTGCTTGTACGAGGGACGAAATATTTGTTTTAGAGGGAGAGAGAAATATTCTAAGGATCGCTTATCATCCAGAGTCTTGTACGATTGAATCCACTCCGGAGGAATTGAAGGAACCAATGGGATCCTTTAAGGAAATTAGCAAGCCTGTAACTAAAAGTATTATTGGTCTTACGACCAAGCTAAAAGAAAATTCAATCCCGATTCCGTTTTATAAAATCAGTCCTAGTAATATTATCCAAGCGCTTAGTGTCTTGCCGTCCCGGGGGGTAGATCCTAATCCAGTTGTCAGTGGGGAAGAAGCTACGGAGATGCCTCCGATAGTTCCGCTGAGTATTGACACTCCTTTGGTCGCTGAAGTCCCGGTGGAAACTGAGCAAGGAACGGAGTCCAGGGATACTGTGGATGCTCGGCTGAGTAGGAGACAAATTTTTCAGAAAATTAGCGAGCAGGATTTTGAAGATGTGGTTTTTACTCCGGAGAGGAAGAATAAGAAACAGAATAAGTGTATTAATGGAAATTTTGATAAGATTTCTGATAGTATTCAGGCTTACAGTATTCATGAAACTCACTCATCGCTGCTGACTTTGAGTATTGATGATGAATCTCTGATTAAAAGTGAACGAAACTTGGAGAATATTCAAAAGGATGTTGAGACTAAGGAGAAGTTACTTGCTGATGTGCTTAATTTTGATTGGTCTGAGTACATGACGAGCAGCCAAATTTATTCGCCGGATTCTACTACCAATAATTCACTCAATACTATCACTTATTTAAATTGTACAGAACCCACGATAGAACCTAAAGTATTATCTTCTTCTACAAGAGAAAATGATGTCAGTGAACATACTGATGAGTCTGATGAGGACGAAAGCTATCGCACGGAGTTGAAAAAATTAGAAACTCTTGGTGAATGTAGCAAAAATTTATATACTGTTAAAAATAATACTAAGGATGTCATTGTTGATAATAATAAAAATTCTTGCCAAAATAATTCACGGGATTTGGAAATACAGTTTAATGGTAAATATTTTTTTTTTATTATTAAAACTATGATAAATTTTGCTTTATTAAATAGTTACTTTTGTTAAATTGCACTGTACTGTTTTAACTGTTAACGTTTTTAAAGATATAAGCTCATCCCGATGTTAAACTCATCAAGAGCTTTCATTTGAGTACCCACATGCATTTTTGATATATTTTTCATATATACATATATATATAATGTAGAAAAATTGATGTAGGTACTCAAATATTTCTTAAGATATAAGCTCATCCCGATGTTACACTCATCAAGAGCTTTCATTTGAGTACCCACATGCATTTTTTATATATTTTTCATATAATATATATAAATATATGAAAAGTTGATGTGGGTACTCAAATGAAAGGTCTTGATGAGTGTGACATCGGGATGAGCTTATATCTTTAATAAATGTAAATATTTCACAAGATACAAGGTAATTTCTTAATTATGTATCTAGAGATAGAGCATTTTCGAATGCAGTCTAAATTACTTATTGGGCACAAAATTTTGCTTATTCTTTTAATAATATAGATAATTGATGATTTATTGTTATTTTATTAATGTAAAAATATTTATTTGTTACAGTCTTGTCCAAAGAATTCGTATCATCGGCAATTTTCGAAGAAGCTGAAGATTGGGTGGTTGTTTCATCAGTTGAATAATCATTTAAGTATATCGAGACATATGTTGAGTTATATTTCAGATTCGCACAATTTATAATTATTATCATTAGTTATTAATCGGATTGAACAACTTTAATCATGTATTTATTACTTATACTTATATTTGGATAGGGTATCATTTTTATCGGACAAATATTATTAGTTAGTTTATTATGAAATAAAAACGTAGATTGGTTAGTTTTTTGTGTATATAACTAATTGTATGGATTTTAATATTTTTTATGCTAGTCAAAAATTAGTTCAGCAAAATTAAAATAAACCAATGGCAGAACAGAAAAAAAAATTAATAACAAATTAATTAAATTTTATGAGAAATATTTAATTGTTATTTACATATGTACATATTTTACTTCTTATGCTCTTTATTTCTGCTTATTAAATTTGCAGCTTCCAAAACTTGTCTTGCAGCGTTATTTATATGTCGAAACCTATCAGGTCCCAGATGTATCCCTCCATACCACCGAGAAATAACCACTAGTACATTTTTTGCGTCGACTATTTGCAAAAAATGTAATAATCTCGAGCCAGCTTGACTCTCACCGTCGTCTTCACAGTCTTGAGCAAAATTTTTATTATCTGTAACTATTCTGTACGCATACATATTGTGCGTAGCCTGTTCTATTTTTTTAATCTCATATAATTTTTTCAGGACGTTTCTACAATAATTAAAATTTAAAATATTAATTTTTATAATTTATTTATTTATTTATTTATTTATTCATTATAAAAAGAAATAAATAAATAATGTAAAAATTTTTTTCTAAACTAAATATTATTTTTAATTACTAAAATACTTACTTTACATCATGAACAGAAAATACTTGCGCAGCATGACCTTGAAATGAACTTTTTCTATCAACAATTACATCTCCATGGTAAATTTCTGGAATTTTTTCTTCTTTTTCTTCATTAGATTTTTTTGAAGATTTTGGAGACTTTTTAACGACTTCATTATGTTCTATTACTTGTTCTATTTTACATGATTTATCTTTCTGTAATTCTTCACGGATTTTTTCAATCCACTCATATAAAACTGGTCCTCCGGCTAAAGACCTAAATTAAATATAAAAAAATTTTTAAATGTTAAATTCACTGCTTACATTTAATTCAATAAGAATATTCTGGATGAAATTTTAGAATAAGTACAAAAATACTCTCTAAATAAAAAAAAATTACATATACATATGAAACCTACAAGTATACCTCTTGAAGAAGGGAACTGATATGATTTTTCTGCTCCAAACGCAATTGCGGAGCAGAAAGCTCAAAGTATGGTGGTGCAGAGGAAGGATAATCAGCTGTTAATTTAACATAAAGTTTTATGGATTTATCACCTTCATGAACATTCATACTAAATGCTCTATTTTCTTCATCCTCTACCTGCCAATCGTCTCCATAAATAGCTGTCAGTGCCTCGATCTCGTCAACCTGAAATATATTAGATTAAAATTTCTTCCAAAATAACAATAAAGTTAGCCGACATTTTTAATTTTTTATTTTGCTTAATTTATTAAATTATAACTAAAAAATATTTTTAAAAAATTGCACTTATAGTTTTTCAAGTTTTTAACAAATGAAAAAAATTTGTATATATTTTTTTGTAATAATTCTTCAATAAAAAAAAAATTAGAAAAAAAAATTGACATGTAGAAATTTTAAAAAATAAAAAATGCAATTTTTTGGAACAAAGTTTTTTGATAAATAAAATTAAAAAATTGTTAAGTGACTGCTAACTTTAATGTCGTTAATAAAATTTATAAATAATAATTACCTGCTGGGTAAAATTATCCATATCGAAAACACGGTAATAAAAAGCATTTATTCCAATGACAATGGACTGTTGACAATCAATAAAATAAATATTAATAAATAAACACAACTTGAGACACTGCAAATTAACATACGCACGAATACATCTAATATTAAAATCGGAGTAGAAAATAAAATTGAAATTACCAGAATGTACTATTTAATTTAACTTGGTTATTCCTGTCAAACAAATTCAATGCTGCAACAATTTTATTAATGAAGCAATAGTGTTTTAATTTAAAAATTATCAACTTAGAAAAAGGTTATCAAATATTTACGGTAAGTCGTAATTATATTTAATTTGTATGATATATATAATAAGTGCATTTCATATTATTATTATTATTTATTATAAAATATAAAATTAATGACTAAAGTGAAGTTAGTTTAATATAAAAATTCTCGCGAAACTAATCGAAAAAATAGATCCTGATTCCTTATTGGTTTACTTCTAATGCGCGCGCGTATAGCGCGCAGTTTAAATTTCAAATATAATAATTACTTTTGATATTGTCAAAATAAAAAGTATAATAAATTATAATACTGAAGTTAGCCGTCAGCTGTCAATTTTTAAAATATTTATAACAAATCAATTATAATAAAAAAAAGCTTCTAAAAATGTTCACTTGTAATTTTTATTAATTTTCATGTGTGAAATTTTGTAATTAAATTTTTTTTTATAATAATTTAATTACTAAAAAATTTCCCATGTCTTTCAACTTCAGTGTCATTTAATTAATTAATAATTATATTTATTATTATTCATTATCGTCGCTATATGCACTATTATATTAAAAAAATGAAAGTATATAATCGATAATAAAGCGCACTAACTATCAACAGAGTAAATTCAAAACCGGTTATGCGCAGAAAGTGTCGGAAAGGAAAAGGACAAAAAAGGACGCCAGAGGAGGCACGCAAGCATCAAAATCAAGCCATCGACGGCCATGTTCATTTGTCATGACACGTTATAACGTTCAACATCACCGCGTTCTTGCTGCATATTTTATAATTTTTAGTTTTAATTAAACACTCGTTAATAAAGTTATTGATAATAAATAATTAAGTGCCGGATATTAATTATAAATTAAAAAAAAAAATGGTTAACGAAGAATTGCTAAGACGAAAACGGGAGGAGTATGAATTGCAGCTATTTGCCTTTCATTCCAGAGACGTCTGTACAACTTGTAAGACGCCAATTCTGCAACAATGATTTTTTACATTATTTTACAGATTTTTAATTGTTTATTTGAAATTTCGGTCGCTGGACGCGTGTGCTCTAGTATCATGTAGTGTTTGAACATGACTAGAATCACACTCGTCCATTGATAGAAATTATTTTCATCGTTTTTATTTTTAATTTATTTTTATTATTTATATTTTTTATTTATTTGCTATTACTTTTATTTTAATAAATATCCTTACCCATTTTCCTTTTAAAATTATTCATAAATTATTTTATTTTTGATAATTATACTAGCATACATTTTAGTTGACCTTGATTCTGACGGTAATGATTGTTAAATTCCAGTAACAACATTGATAAAAGAAAGAATAGAGTCCAGATGCAATAAAATTCATCAAGCGATAATAAATAAATTTAGTCCCGTTGGTGAAGAAGTTGAATTATTAGAAAAAAATAGGAAAAAATTAATAACAGCTTACTATCGGAAATGTAGAAGTTACTTACCACGTATTGAGGTTACTATTTTTTGGCCTTACTGATTTTATTTTATTTATATTATTATATTATATAACTATAAATGCATTATTTGTTTTTAATCATCCGTGCTGCTGGCAGTCGGAAGGAATGATTATCATCTAAATAGTAATTAATATTATTATTTTAGAATTGTGTGGAGAAATTGCTTGCGATACCGCAACATATCCTGCTTGACGAGGATAAAATCCAAGCTACCCAATTTACAGCTGAAGAATTTGATGAAATTATGAGGAACTTGGAAAACTTGCAAAGAAGAACTAAGCAAGTATGTGATTTGATATTTTTTTATTTTATTTTATATTAGCTAAAAATTTTCATAATTTTTTTTTATTAATAAAATTAAAAGAAAAAAATTTGATAAACTATACGTGCAATTTTTTTTTAAATATTTATTTAATGCTAATTCAATTAATAAAAAAATTTTTATTCTTTCGCTGTCGGCTAATTTTATTTTAAATAATAATTCAAGAAAAATTTTTTTCCTAAACTTTAATGATAAAAATTAGCAGACACTTAACAATTTTTTTATTTTTATTTAAAAATAAATTAGATCTAAAAAATTATTTGTAAAAAATTGCATTTATAATTTTTCAGAGGTTTTAAAAATTGAATTTTTTATAACACTGAAGTAAGCCGACGTTTTTAATTCTTTTTTTAATTATTTTGTAATAATTTTTTTAATAAAAAAAAATTCTAAAAATTATTAGATGGCTAACTTAATTTTTTTAATTTTTTTGCTATAATTTATTAGTAAAATTTTTTTTTTTTCAACTATCAGATGTCTCTCAATTTTGCTCAATATTAATCATTCATTTTGTGTAATTAAATATTTGATTTTACGTAAAAAAAAATTGTGCAAACATCTACTACTTTTGTCCCGCGTTTTGCTGATTATTTATATTTTACTTATCAAGCGTTTTTTTTAACTGTTATAGGAAACTATGCTCAATGGTGTGCTAAAGCAAGAGCTGGAGATGGCAGAGGAGTTTGAAAAAAATGTTGAGGTAGCAAATAAGTTGTGTACTGCGATAGAAAATGGTATTCATTATTCAGAAATTGACGATACGACGATAAAAGCAATAGATCAGTTGAGAAATGTAACTGAAGAAGTTGAGGAGTTTTGTAGTACTCGCGTACATAGGTTGAATTGTCTGACATTAGCGCCAAAACAATTTAGTATTCATGATTTATGATCAGAAAAAAAAAAAAAACATTTTTTTTTTATCAACTAACAAATATTTGTATATTTTGTACAGTATAATTGAAATTAATTACATACATACATGACAAATTAAGTGTGACTGACTGATACTTTATGAATAAAAAAAAAAATTATTTTTATTATTAAAATTCAAAGAATTGTATAAAGATGAAGTTAGCCGACATTTCAAAACTTTTAGAAATTTTATATTAATTTTTTAATAATTATTTCAAACTTTTTCTATTGAAAAAAAAAAAATTTCAGATGTAAAAAACTTGCAAAACTATAAGTGCAATTTTTTATAAGTATCTTTTTAGTTGTAATTTAATTAATAAAAAAAATCAAAAATTTTTAGACGTCTGCTAACTTCAGTGTCATAGAATTGTAAGAATAAACGTTGCGAGAATTTTAACTTCATTTGTTTACTTCAACTTCTTTGTGTGGCTTAGCTACGAGGTACCACACAAAGACGCGGAATTTATTTAAGAATGTTCTTCGAAGGATATGATTGGTTGAAAAAATTAAAACAACATGTTTACTTTAACTTCGTTTTTGCTTCTCGATCATTCTTCACTTGTCCTTAGTACAAGACTGTCTTCAAGTTTTGCTTATTATTAATTTAAATATTAATTGCTTTTATAATTAAATAAAATTAATTTTATAATTTAATTATTAATCAATTAAACTGTAATCAAGTTTTGTTTATTATTAATTTTAATATTAATTGTTTAAAATTAAATGAAATTAATTTTGTAATTTAATTATTAATTAATTGCTTATAATTAAATTAAATTAAAGTAAAAATAAAAAATTAATAAATTAATAAGTGAAGTTAGTGAAGTAAAAGAGATTAATTACGAGGATGAGTGTCGTATATCCGAGCGTTTGATCGATTTGATGAATAGCACTCACTACGAGTTAGTTCAAGAGAATGGACAACGACGTTTGACAGCCCCAGAGTTTACCAAGGAGTACCGTGACCGCATCAAAGGAGCTGAAGTCTTTGTGGGACGCCTCCCACGAAACTGCTACGAAGATGAACTGATGCCGGTGTTGGAGAAGGCTGGACGTCTGCTGGAGCTGAGGTTGATGCTGGACTTTTCTGGAACTACTCGTGGCTACGCGTTTGCCATGTATAAAGATGCTAAATCTGCTGGACGTGCTCGTGCTATGCTTGATGGCTATGAAATAAGACCTGGGCATAGGATTAATGTTGTTAAATCTGTTGATAACTGCAAACTGTTCTTCGGTGGTGTTCCCAAGGATAAAACAAAAGCTGAGTTTATTGAAGAACTGAGGAAAATTTTTGATGGAATTTCAAACGTTTACTTGTATCCGAATGCTGAAGATCCTTCACTAAATCGTGGGTTCATTTTTGTCGAGTTTAAAGATCACCGATCGGCTGCAATGGCAAGACGTAAGCTCATTCCTGGCAGAGTTATGTTGTGGGACCATGAAGTAGCTGTTGATTGGGCAGAACCTGAGCCTGGAGAGTCTTTAGATGATGAAGTTATGGAGAATGTAAGTAGATTTTTAATTTCATTGTTTTTTTTCCATTAATTTTTCATGAAAATTTAGTTAGCTGACATCTAAAAATTTTTATAATTTTTTTTTATTGAAAAAATTATTACTAAAAAATAGTGACATTAAATTTAGCTGTCACTTGACAATTTTTTAATTTTCTTTAACAAGAAAATTTGTTCCAAAAAATTATTTTTAAAAAATTGCATTTTTTTAATAATTTTTTTTGCCATAATTTATTTATTAAAGAAAATTAAAAAAATTGTGCCAGCTAAATATAATGTCATAAAAAAAAAATTTTATTTGTAAAAAATTTGGAAAACTTTAAGTGCAATTTAAAAAAATATTTTTTTGTTATAATTTAATAAATAAAAAAAATAAAATAATTAAAGTCGGCTTACTTTAGTATTAGTATTAATTTTTCTCTAATCTATTGATAATTTTTTTTCGTTCAGGTGACTGCTTTGTTCATCAGAAATATATCACGAGAGCTGCCTCACCAAAAAGTTCGTGATATTTTACACAAAGCAACTGGTATACCGATTATAAAATTAAAAAAAATTAATCACTTTGCATTTGTTCATTACAAGACCCGTAGAATGGCTCAGAGAGTTCTTGAAATCGCGAGTGGTAAGTAAAAAATTTTTAATCACTCATAAACATTTAATTTTATCCGTAAATATTTATCAAAAATTTATTTTAAAGTTTCTGGAGGAATTGCTGATCAAACACATTGGGAATTTTCTTGGGCAAAACCCATTGGCTCATCTAAAATACAAGAAAGACAACGTGCGATCCAAGACGCGTTGGCAGGAATAAACTTAAATGACAATCAACAGTCTTGTAGTGTTTGGAAGCCATCTCTTTCTTACATTAAACATCAGGTAGCCAAAAAAATTACCAAACTCGCTGATCCAAGTAGTCCTGACATAAGTTGCATGTCACCATCAACTTCAAATAACTCACCAGACTTCACACGTGCTGTAATATATCCAATCAGGCCTCCAGGTTCTTTTCCTACGAATTATAAAAAACTTTTAGAAGACTTGGTTATTCAAAATTTTGATGCGCGGTGCCATTTCGTTTGCATTCCAGTGCTCCTGACATATGGATTTATTTGCAAGGTTGGCTATCAATTATAAACATATTCAACTATATTATACACGGAAAAAAATAAACTGTAGTTTATATTTTTTACAGATGATTTTTTAGATACGAAATGATAAATATCAAAGTCAAAATTTTTAATTATTATACTTACTTATTACTTATTATAAATCGACTATTATTTATTAAAATTTACTTTTTTCCGTGTATACAATTTAAATAATTAACTTAAATTTATCAAGGTTAATTAATTTTATATTCAACAGATTTCACTGGTCCGTAACGGACAGATTGTGCACGAGTTTCAAGGTGAGCTCTATTCAACTCAAGATCAAGCGATTAATGTGACATCAAGAGTTGTGTACTATAAACTTGTAAACAATATTACTCAGCCTTTAATGGTTCAACCACCTGTTTTTAAATCTACAAGTTTTATACCCAATCGCATGGAAACTTGCCACTGAAATAATTTATTTTTCTAAAGGTATTTTACTGCCAAGATTTTTTAAAATTTATATTTTTATACTTAAATATTTAAAAATTTTTATAAATCACAATTATTATCAGTAACAGTTTTTGCATTTAAAAAATTGCATAGTTTTAACATAAATCTCTAATTAATTCAACTATTAAATTAATAATCGACTTTTGAATATTTTATAAAAATATTAAAATTGATCATTGTTTATTTTAGTTTTAGTATCGACAATCAATTAAGATACTTGAGTTTTGTTTAGAAATATTTTAAGTTTAAACATCAATAGCTCTCAGCATTTGATATTTATGAATGTAATGCTTAATCAAAAGTTCAATAATAATAAATATTATTTTATTAACTATTAATAGATCTCATTGTTATTTTGTTGTTTCAATGTCAAGAGAATTAACTTAAGCGACCTCGAATGGTTTAAGAAAGATATATCAAATATCAATAAACTTAATGTTAAAAATATTTTACTTTAAATTCTTTAATAAATTTGTTATTCTTTTATCTTAACTATAAGTTGATCAAATATTTAATTAAATATAAGTGACATATTAATGTTAGTGATAAAAAATGTCGGAAAAAAATGATTAATATTTAATTAATTAGTAAAATAACAACAAGTCAATTGTAAGAATACTCGGTTCTAATTTAAACGTAACGTCACTTGCTATAAATATATCAGTATAAGTATAACGTAAATCTCGCGGAGAATTCGAAGCAACTTGTTGCCAAAGATCATGCGTGGCATACAATTCATCAGTGCAAGCGTACGTATATTCGTTGAGTTAATAAACTATTTTTATCATTAAAATATTATTTAACACCAACAGAATAATCACCAATGTATGACTCTCCTGAATTGTTATAATTAAAACTTACGAATACGCGTGTAAATTAATAGCACATTAATCAGTCATGAAAACTAGAACACACTGACCCTGCCATGAATATTCAAGTTATTCAACATAACATTAATTTTGAGGCCGATTGCTCAGCTTCATTATTTTTTACATCATTTATTATTACTACGAATTTAATAGTACCAAAAAATATAAATAATTACTATTTGCTGATTATTAAATTAAATGACGAGTAATCGTAATTAGTAATTATTTTAAGAAAAGACAAAGATCATAAATGTTATCAATAAATATAATTACGCATACTTGATTGTATTATCTTTCTTAAAATTTTAGTTACTCTTAATTCAATGATTCATACTTATTAAATTAAATCATCAGATAATAGTACATTCACTTGATATATAAAAAGTATGTAAATTTCTCTCATTACAATTTCAAACGTCATAACTTTTTTTTTGCAAAGACTAAAAATAGTCTGACGCAGTTAATAAATATGTAATTTTTTTTTTTTATGTTTCCATTTCAATGGTTAATTTTTGTACTTAAAAATAGATTAAAATTTTATCAAAGGTCACGTAAAGCAGACAAAAAAACATCTGGATTTATAAATTGAAAAAATATAAATTATCAGAAGAAAAAAAATGCACTTTGGCAAATATTACAGTTTTAACTTTTAGCTTTTTACTAAAATAATTTTAAAAGTTTTAATATTTATATTTTAAAATAATATATTAAAAAATATGAGCTTATAAATATGTAACTACAAATAATATTTCCTTATTCTAATTAGAACTTGGAACTAAATAAGAATATTATCGTTAATTAGTAAGAAATAAAAACATTAAAAAGATCATGAGCGGATAAAAGAAGAAATAAAAAAATTATACTATCATTAAGTATCAATAAAACGATTGTAGCGTTATATTTAAAAATAAATATGAATCATAGACAAGATGGATAGTGACAATTATGGTATAAAATTTATCGAAGGCCAAGGACGTGCCTTCGAATCAGTGCAAATGTACTCACTTTTAAAAAATTCTAACAAATTAAAAAATATTTACATGACAAATTATTCAAATGACCCCTCGATTTTTATCTTCGCGTGGGCGTTATTCTTTTTAAATGAGACTATACTTAAAAATAATTACTCAAAGGCCCGTTTTAATAGTTGACAAATGAGTTTTAATAACGACTTAAATAATTAGACCTAGTATAGCTTATGACTTTAAAATATATGCAATTCATGTAAATATTCCTTTCATTTGTGTAAAAAAAAATATCTTTAGATCGGAACAACAATCAAGGCCATTAAGATTTATTTGATAAACGAATGCAGTCAAATAGTCAATAGTCCATGACAATGGTCTACGTAGGAATTTATCAAGGTCTTTAGAATATGTTTTATGACCGTACTTCCGACATAAACTTTAAACAAAACAATAATAATGCAGCATATACATGGCTGCTAATAAGTAATAAAATATAATAAAATATATATGTTAGGTAATGTATTCACACTATACAATAAGATGTATTTATTTATTATTTTAAACTTTATGATTCTTTTAAAAGCCAATTGGCAGCATATCAAAACGCGTTTAATATTGATATAAATTAAAATTATTAAGAAACAAAGCTTGATAATAATTATATTTATATTTATGTGAATTAGTCATTTAGTATTTAATTTGTTGGAAATTTTAATCATAAAAATTTATTCCTATTTTATTTTATTATGATGAAGTTAGCTGTCAATTTTTTTTAAATTTTTATATGAAAATTAATTTAGCAGATATTTAATAATTTTTATAATAAATAAATTACTTTATAAAAAAAAATGGACATTTAGAAATTTTAATAAATTAAAAATTCAATTTTTTAAAAATCATTTTTTGGAACAAATTTTTTTGTTAAATAAAAATAAAAAATTGTCAAGTGACAGATGAAAATTAAGTTAGTCGACATTTAAAAATTTTTAGAATTTTTTTTTTATTGAAAAAATCATTAAAAAAATTTTCATTTGTAAAAAACTTGAAAAACTATAAGTGCAATTTTTTAAAAAATATTTTTTAGTTCTAATTTAGTAAATGAAAAATAATCAGAAAATTTAAAAAGTCGGGCTTACTTTAGTATTATAAGTGACAGCTAACTTTAATATCATAATTTTTAATGAAAATTAATTGAGCAAATATTTAATAATTTTAAGAAATTTATAACAAAAAAATTATAAAAAAAAAATTAACACTTAGAAATTTTAAAAAATAAAAAATGCAATTTTTTTTAAATAATTTTTTTGTTAAAAAAAATTAAAAAATTGTCAAGTGACTGCTAACTTTAATGTCCATAATTGTTATTACAACAAAAAAATACTTTAAATTAAAACTAAAAAATATTTTTAAAAAATTGCACTTATAGTTTTTTAAGTTTTTAACAAATAAAAAAATTTTTTTTTTATTTTTTCTAATAATTCTTTAATAGAAAAAATCAAAAAAATTTTTAGATGTCGGCTAACTTTATTTTCATTAAAAAATTTCTACGGATAATTTTTTTATAATTTCACTGCTAAAAAATTTTTTAATATCAACTTCAGTGTCATATTTTATTATTTAAATTTAAATATTTAAGGAAGAATAACTTTCAAGATTTGTAGTTGATCTGTTTGTCAATTAAAAATATCTATTGGCGCTTTGTAAATAATAAAAGCTAAAAAAATATCAATTGGTCACGGATCATGTGGTCATCATCGACTAAAACAAATAAAATAAAATAATATATTTTGCTTCTGCATCAAAGATCTACGATACAAAAATAAAAACACAATGCTACAATGCAACAGACAGAGAAAGAATAACGTGTGACGCTGCCGCGGCGTATTAAAGACTGTGAAAGTAGGGGATCTCCCACTTTTTCGTAGCTACTCACCGCGTGTTGATATATAACTCCAAGAGCGTTGGACGAAAAAGCCACTCCTTTACACGTGTTGTCTCGACGCAACAGTCCTGTGCATTCTTTGTGTTTATTTTTTTTTACCGCTAAAAAAAATGAAGATAATTAGTAAATTATCACAGTACATTTATCTTCTGAGTAATTAAGTAATTGAAAAAAAATTACCAGGACAACAGTTTAAAAAAATACTACAAGCTGAGCGATGTTTTGAATAAAAGTGAAGTGCATTGAAAGTTTTTAATATTATATTATTTAATATAATAAACAATGTAAGTGATTTTAATAAAATTAAACTGCCGTATTATTAACTATTTAGCATCTTCAGAGTATAAATATCTAATTTGTATTGAGAAAAGTGAAAGCGGATACGTTTTTCTTGAGTTACAATCTCTTGTGAATAAAAAAATATAAAATAACTCAAGATCTTCATACCCAGGAATTTATAAATTAAATATCTGAGGCTGTGATTTTAAAAAAGAAGAAAATTATAATAAAAAAAAAAATTTAATAATAAATAATATTATTATTATTATTATTTTATAAAAATGGGGATTGTATCATCAACCTTGACTCTAGTCGCAGCTCAGTTGGCTTGGAACTGTCAGAGATTCCTGGACCCACGATACAGGTTTGTAACTTCCCACTTGCTTATATGACATTAAATTAAAGTTAGCTGTCATTTTACCAATTTTTAATTTTATTTAACAATTGAATTAATTCTAAAAAATTATTTTTAAAAAATTGCAGTTTTTATTTTTAAAAATTTCTACATGTCAATTTTTTTTAAATAATAAATTCAGCCGACATTTTTGATTAATTTATTAAATTATAAGTAAAAAATATTTTTAAAAAATTGCACTTATAGTTTTTGAAGTGTTTAACAAGTGCAAAATTTTTTTTTTTAATAAAAAAAAATCATAAACATTTTTAAATGTCGGCTAACTTAATTTTCATCAATTTTTTTATAATAATAAAATTAGCCAACATTTTTGATTTTTTTATTTTGATTAATTTATTAAATTATAACTATAAAATATTTTTAAAAAATTGCACTTATAGTTTTTAACAAATAAAAAAATTTTTTCTAAATATTTTTTTTAATAAAAAAATTCATAACAATTTTTAAATGTCGGCTAACTTAATTTTCATCAATTTTTTTATAATAATAAAATTAGCCGACATTTTTGATTTTTTTATTTTGATTAATTTATTAATTATAACTAAAAAATATTTTTTAAAAATTGGACTTATAGTTTTTCAAGTTTTTAACAAATAAAATTTTTTTTTTTAATAATTTTTTATTAAAAAAAATTATAAAAATTTTTAAATGTGGGCTAACTTTATTTTCATATTTTTTTGTCATAATTTATTTATTAACAAAACAGTTCTAAAAATGATTAAATATCTGCTAAATTAATTTTCATCTTGCTTATAACATTTAAATGATATAATATTATTAATAACTACAATTAATTTAATTATAGGTACTATTCATGACATGCTGTAAAAAATGTACAACAATAAGCCAGTACATTTATATGTTTATAAATTATTACTATTAAATTGAAAGCATTGAGCATAAAACATAACATAGGGCCTCAATACCGTTATGCTGATATTAAACTGTCATATGCGACTGGTTTGATTGTCATAGTTGTTCATGTGAGAGAGAATGCGAATATCGAATAACCACGCGGGTTTACTTACCTACCCCTCCATCTGTCCTCGATCGGCGGGAACTCGACCCCCTGGTGCTTCAATAGATTGTCTAACAAACGGCCAGACTGTATTTTTAGCTCTGGTACTCTTGTAGATTCACCAAGCATCAGGAAATGCAATCCATGATATAAGTATGTTGCTGATTAAATTCAAGTTCATCGTTTAATTTAAATGCTTTCATTCTTAACTATCAAGCCTTCATTTCCGATTTTTATTTATCCGCTGATTCACTTTAAAGTAATCCGTCACCGCTTTATTTTTTAAATTTACTTTGTCTTCATTCATGTGAAAAAATAATTGCTTTATCTTTATATTACTAAAGAAGAAATCTTTTAATACTCATTGTTTAAAAAATATTATATTGATCACTGACTCAGTGCATTGATGTTTACTTAGATATTTTTTTATTTATTTATTTAATACACGAGTGAAGCCTCATCGAAAGGCTCTAATTAATACTGGGATTCGTTTATCTTACAAATAAGATCTTGTTACGCGTCACTTACACTTCCGTATACAATGATAATTATAAAACACCACGAGAAAGTTTATTTGCTTTTTTTTATTTTATAAATATTATTGTAAGCTATAAATATTTAGCTCAATTTTATTTTTATATTTAAATTTCACTTTTTTAAATTGAAATAAATAGTACTAAAGTTAGCTGACATTTCTGATTTTTTTATTAATTAAATTGGAACAAAAAAATATTTTTTTTTAAATTGCATTTAAAGTTTTTCAAATTTTTTTGTAATAATTTTTTTAATTAATTTAACAACCAAATTTGTCCCAAAAAATATAATTTAAAAAAAATTGTATTTTTTATTTTTAAAAATTTTTACATGCCAATTTTTTTTTCTTATTTTTTTTTTTGCCATAATTTATTTGTTAAAAAAATTCTAAAAATGATTTAATATCTGTTAAATTTATTCTCAATAATATTCATAATAAATAAATAATATTTGCACACATAAACATATACATAACTAACATTTGACTACGAAAGACGAATAATAAGTAATTAAATGAATAATTAAACTTAATAATGGAATTCGGATCAAGGCTTGTCAAAGAAGTATAAATAAGAATCTAGTGTCGAGGGACTTAGATGATTAATCCACTGATGACTCAAGTTTCAAGCTGTTAAGTTAATTATTTTTCTCACTTATTACTTATTAAACTCGATACCTTCCATAAAAACGATATTTATTATCGTCGTATATCTAAAACTCCTTTATTATTAATCGCATAAATTTTTTCTTCCGATAAATAACTTACATTGTTTGTAAACAAACACTCTAGTGGGCAAATATAATAATGAATTTACAACTTGGATTTTTACCTTGAACTCTTGCAGCTTTACTTACCTATTTCCAGTTTTATTTGTCCTAAAATCAAATAAATTTTAGTAAAAATTAAAAAAACAATTATAAAATCATGAGAATAATTACTAAATAATTGTAATGAGTAATGACACAGGTAGTTGAGGCATAATCATTATTATTGGCTGCGTGCCAAGCTATGAGCTTGAGTGCACGAGTACTTAAATCACAACTCATCGTACCCGTGCATACGTACTCTTTCATTCCATCTCCACCCATATGTGTAAAAGTATACGTTTAGTTACATATATACTCACTAATACATACATATATGTATGAGTCTACTATATATATATACATATATATAGTATCCCGTATCATTTTAGTCCCATGTACACTTTTTTCCGGTGTAGCGTGTGTACTATGATCAGCTTTATGCTTCAAGTTCATGGTCTTCGTGATAGCTTTTTTTTTATCCACCAGCCTACAAAAATATGAATCACGCTAACATTATATATTGTATATATGTTTTAAATTATATCTAAAAAATCAAATTCCATATATGTACATTTATATATTTTTATAAAACTAAAGTTAGTCGACGTTTCAGATTTTTTAATTATTTTTCATTCATTAAATTATAATAAAAAAAAACATTTTTTAAAAATTGCACTTATAGTTTTCCAAGATTTTTACAAATGAAATTTTTTTAAAATTTTTTTATAATAATTTTTTCAATAAAAAAAAAATTCTAAAAATTTTTAAATGTCGGCTAACTTACTTTTCATTATATTTTATAAAAATAAAGTTAGCCGACATTTTTGATTTTTTTATTTTGCTTAATTTATTAAATTATAACTAAATAATATTTTTAAAAAATTGCACTTATAGTTTTTCAAGTTTTTAACAAATGAAAAAATTTTTTTTATTTTTTTATAATAATTTTTTAATAAAAAAAAATCATAACAATTTTTAGATGTTGGCTAACTTTATATTCATTTATATTTTTTATATATAAATCACACAAGTGCAATTTTTAAAAAATATTTTTTAGTTCTTATTTAATAAATAAAAAAAAATTAAAAACGTCGGCTAACTTTAGTATTATCAAGTGAAGAAAAAATAGAATGGAATGATTAAAAAAAAATGATAAGACTATTTGGAACAGCTTTCATTTAATCATAAATTAATTTTATTTATATTTATATCTTAAAGTTTTTGGTTGATAAACAGGTTCAGGGGAAAAAAAATATTGAAATGAAAAAAGAATACCCTCTGACTCTCGTTCTCATTCCATCCGCGTTTTATTTTCAAATCCATGGACTAACTTTCACTTGGTTGCATGCAATATTATTTTATTATTTGTTCTCATGACGTGAGTAGGCTTGGAATTGTACGTATATGTATATATATATGCTTGATTAACTCAACTTATTGATGTATTGATACATCTGCATTTATTTATGGTTCAGCAGAATGTTTAATGTTTATCAAACGTCCTGAAAATAAGTGCGTAGCTTAATAATAGCGATGGTGTAATTGATATAAATTCTAAGTTAACTAATATGAGATCCTAAATAACAAAAAGATTATGTAATTTTTATGTGAAGAAATGAATGTAAAAAATTAAAATTTACCTGCATTGTATGTAATGTGTTTATTGCAAGAATATTGCGTAGAATTTCTAGAAGAATTAATAGAATAATTTTTCTATTAATCTACGGCATTGACCATGAACTCGAATGTAATTGTAGGAATACATATGTGAAGGACACGATTGTTGATGGTTAGCAAGTCTGGAAAAGGAAGAAAAAAATTAATTACTATTGAGTCCAAAAAATTAGTACTTTTTATAAGATTTTATCTTGCAATTTACGATTTAATTTATGCTAACTTTGTAAGTAATATACGATTATCGAATTGTGATAGCGTGTATTATAATGAAAAGAAATTTACTTTCATACTTTTATGCATGAATACACTTGAATAATAAGTTTAATTATAATCACAATAGTGAGATGTATTATTATTTTGAGCGAATGTACGCAAGTAACTCGATGGTGAATATATATTTGCTGGCCTTGCGGGAGGATTTTATTTTTAATTTACAAATTTATTCGGAACTATTAAATTCATTCGATTAATTTTATTTTTAGGTATTACTTCTATTGAATAAATAAATTGAATACGCTTATAGTTTATATGAACTATAAAAATTTTTTAGATTAAAATAGTAAAAGTTTTTACAATGACGTATCGATTTCAATGGATAATTTTTATCGTTTGATATACGTAAGTATAAAATGAAATGATAAGATAGAACGTAATGTCGTAAACATATATGACAATGAATAGAGTAAAATTAATAAAAAAAAAAGTAATTGGATAATTTATCGAGATACCGTATAAAAAAAATCAATCAGTAACAGCAATATGTACTCACTTTGGATCGATAACTTTTTTTTCGTTTTTATCTAAGTACATTCTATAATAGAAGATAAAAATTTAAGTAAATATCGAGTAGAATTCATTATTTATACGAATCTTACTCGTATTTCATAATTAATATGTTGTAAATTAATTTTGAAAGTAATCGAGTGGAATATATTGATAAAATTAATAAGTATCATTTAAATATGAGTAACATTTGTGTCAATAGAAGAAATTTACATTCTATCGATGGTTAAAAATATTTTATTCGATTATTGTATATGCGAAAATCAAAAAACATTAAAATTATTTTTTATTTATAAAATTAAAGTTAGCAGTCACTTGATAATTTTTTAATTTTATTTAACAAAAAGATTTGTCCCAAAAAATCATTTTTTATTTTTTAAAATTATCACATGTCAATTTTGTTTCATAATTTTTTTTGCCATAATTTACTTGTTATATAATTTTTTTAATTATTAGATGTACCTATGCTAAATTAATTTTCATTTTTTTTATTAATTGCTCGTTTTTTTATGTACTTAAAAAAAAAAAAATATAGAATAGAAATTTTATCCAAAAACATGAGCGAAAATTTTTTCCAACTTTTTATGGCAAAAAAACTATCAAAATCTTTTATTTTATTCTTTCACGAGATTTTTTATTATAAATGCCCCCTAAAAACAAGCGGAATAAAAAAAAATTTGAAAATGTTAATTTTTCACTTAGTTATGGCCAAAAATTGGGTTTGACCCCACTTGTAAATAATTATCAAAATTTTAGAGCAAAATTTAACAAGTTTGAATAATTTCCCAAAAAATTGAAAAAATTCTCACAATTTCTGCTAAATTAAACTTGAACCTCAAGAAAATTTTAAAGGATTATATTTTTAAAAATCATTTGTGAAGAAAATTTAATTTTTTACAAATTAAAAAATATTATCCGATGTTAATTAAGTAAAAAATCTAAAATCGCATTGAATATTAAAATAAACATCTGCTGTTTTTAATAAATACATTTTTTTTGGTACCCTGAAGAATAGTGAATTTTTTAAACAGCTTAAATACACATAAGTCTATATATTTACACTCCGATTACAGAGATAAATAAAAAGTTAGGAAGCATTCAAAAACATGTTTACAATGAGTACGGGTCATAAATAAGGTGTTTTTTTTTAAAAGATACCATAAAGCCCTGCGTGAATGATTCTTGTCACCCTTGGGATACTGCAGTCCCTCGGCATGACCTCGGCGGGGGTCATACACCCGAGCAAAATGTACGTGTGGTGCTTGAAATAAAACGAGTCACGAGTAAAGATGAAACAAGTACAACTTGAGCTCGAGAAGTATAAATCTAAATGCTCCTTGTGCTTGAGTATAGTGGTGTAGATAATAACCAAGTAGATGATGACGATGGTACCGATTCCTACTACTACCAGTGATTAAATTTGATGACATCGTCATACCAGCACACACTACCCACTCAAAAGCTTTAGTGCGTCTCTTAAACATGAAACACGTTACTCTTGCACTAAATTCAAGTTATTTTACTCACTTGGAAAAATTTACTCACTTGTTGCTCACTTGATACATGAATACATTCCGTCAATTTGATTAATAAATTATACTTTAAAGATATGATACGGCGTACAGTAATGAGACATTTGAGATTTATATCAGCATACTTGATGAATTCTATTAACAAAAAAAATTAAATTAATAAAAATAAATTTTAAGTACTTGATAATTTACCTTTTAAGAAGCCCGCCGCTGGTATACTGATGATCATTAAATTATTAAATTAATTTAAATATTAGATTGAAAATCACATGATTGTTGCATTAACGCAATTAACGCCTAGAGGGTTTAATCTCGGGCATTGTACAAATAATAAAAATATCTCCCGGATGGCAGTTTGCTTTTATTTAGCAACTGAAAACAAATTCAATTGCCAAATTTATTAATAGAAGAATTTATTATGTTTTAGATACGTTGAGCCAACTAAAACCTTGGAAGCTTCATCAGCACCTGCAGCAGTATCAGTAGAACTTGATGAAGCTAAAAATCAACAACCAGTACCACGTGTTCTGGATACTCTTTCTAGTCACCAAGAAAATCGGAACAGACGAGCTGCTCAGCTGAGGTATAGACGCAAACGACCTTCCAGCTTTGATGCATCTCTTATTGCCAAGAGTATGATTAGAAATGGAATTCCAATATCCGCTGGATCTAGAGTCGTCTCTTCGACGCCTAGTACTTTGAAAAGACAGCAGGCTCCTCAGTGGAGTGAATCTTCTTCGGCATCCGCCTCTTCTTCCTCTTCTATATCTTCTAGTGAAGGTAAATTTATTATTATCGTAATATTAAATAAAATTTTCAAGAATTATTTAATAAAATTTCAAGAGCTTTCATTTGAGTACCAATATGCATTTTGATATATTTTTCATATATACATATATATAATATATATTTTAAAGATATAAGCTCATCCCGATGTTACACTCATCAAGAGCTTTAATTTGAGTACCCATATGCATTTTTGATATATTTTTCATACATACATATATATAAATATATGAAAAATTGATGTGGGTACTCAAATGAAAGGTCTTAATGAGTGTAACATTGAGATGAACTTATATCTTTAAAAATGCCAATAGTTCTCAAGATACAAGGTCATTTCTTAATTGTTAAATTGCACTGTACTTTCTTAACTATAGACATTTTTAAAGATATAAGCTCATTTCGATGTTACACTCATCAAGAGCTTTCATTTGAGTACCCACATGCATTTTGATATATTTTTCATATATTCATATATATAATATATATAATTATATAAAATATATGAAAAATTGATGTGGGTACTCAAATGAAAGGTCTTGATGAGTGTAACATCGGGATGAGCTTATACCTTTAAAAATGTCAATAGTTGACAAGATACAAGGTCATATTTTTTAATTATGTAGCTAGAGATAGAGCATTTTCGAATGCAGCCTAAATACTTATCATCATATATTGACTATTGGTGAGAATGATATGAAACCTTGAAAAGGCACAACAAAATTTTGCTTATTTTCTTAATAATATAGATAGTTAATAAATTTAATTAATTGCAGACTCTGATGTAGACAGCAAAGCAAGCAACGAGAAAATTCTGGAGAGAACCTGCGGACAGACAGAAGAAAACAACAACAATGATGATGAAATTGTTGGTCAAAAGTATACCATGTCTGCTGCGGAAGAAGCTGCCTTCAGAATGACTGTCGGACGAGGACACTTCAGCAGATCGAAAAAGGATCGATTTCTCAATCACTTGAGACTTGAAAAACGACTTAACGACCTCAATCGTGAATTCTTTGAGCTTACTTGTCGTGCTCACTCACGGTCACTTTATCGTCATCATTCGGGAGATCTGAGAAAAATTGTTTAGATTTATGTTCATATATTCTAATTTTAGTTTTTTTTTTTATTATTTGATAAAAAAATTATTATCAATTATTATTTTTTAATAATTGATTTAATGATAAAAGCAAATGCGATCTAATACTCAGTAAAATTTTTACTGTGTAAGTATAGTTATTTATTTAAAAGATTCATTTGACAAATATTTGTTTTTATTTATAATAAATAGATTGCAGCATTTGTCCTGATGATAAATATCAATGTATAAAAAAAATCGCACAAAAGATTTTAGATTATTCTTACGAATCTCGTGATGAAGAAATTAATCAAAATCGAATTTCAAAGACTGAAAATTTTTTTTCATTGTAATTTTTGACTAGTCTAATATTTGATCTACTGAAGAATTAAGATTATGATGATGATGATAATAAATGAATATAATTATTTTTGTAAGTTGATAGTATAAATATTTAAAATGTTAAATATTTTTTTTGAGCATTAAATTGTGAAAGTGATAATTTAATACTAAAGTGATGACTTACGGTTATTAATATTTAGAGATTAAATTTTAATCAGTGTTATGACTAACTTTTTTTTTAATCTTTTAAGTATAAGGTATCTTACTGAAGCAATTATTTTTTATTTTATTTTTTTTTTTTTTGTATAAATGTGTATGAGTAATCGAAGGTAAAGAATGTGCCATTTAATTGTGAGATGAAAATAATATTTAAAAATTTTTAATTATGAGCTTATTGTTATTGAAGATGATAAACGATATGTTATCATTATCATAATTATAATTAAGGGTTAAAATACCGGTTAGATTTATAAAAGTATATTATTTTTTATATTCTTCATATATTAAAAATAAAAAATACCGATAAATGTTTATATTGTGTCTGGAATTATTTTATCCTGATTTTATTGATAATTATAGAATAATTTGAATAAGAAAAAGTATTTCAGTGAAGTTAACTGACATTAGAAATTTTTTAATTATTTTATAACACTAAAGTTAAAAATAAAAAAATGCAATTTTTCAAAAATAATTTTTTGGAATAAATTTATTTGTTAAAAAAAAATAAAAAATAATCAAGTGACTGCTAACTTTAATGTCATTTAATTTTCACATGTAGAATTTTACTAAAGTTAAAAATAAAAAAATGCAATTTTTCAAAAATAATTTTTTGGAATAAATTTATTTGTTAAAAAAAAATAAAAAATAATCAAGTGACTGCTAACTTTAATGTCATTTAATTTTCACATGTAGAATTTTTTAATTAAATTTTTTTTATAATAATTTAATTGCTTTAAAATTATAAAAAAAATTTTTAATGTCTAACTTCAGTGTCATTATTTTGTATCAATGAAATTATTATGAAAAAAAAATTAATAAAAAATTCCACGTGTGAAAATTCAAAAAAAATTATTAATGAAAAAATTTTTAGAGCATTTTTTTTTTTGTAATTGATTTGTTATAAAAATTAAAACAATTGACAGCTAATTTCAGTATCATAAAAAAGTCCCGTTAATTGTTTCTGACTACAATAATTTTTAATTGTTAATATAAAATTAAAAAGATTAAATTAAAGAATAGTATATTTTTAATTGGAGTTATTAAATTTATCTGATTATTAATTATGAAAAAATAATCAAAGATTTTATCAGAAGAAATGTAATTTTTATAATTAGAAATAATTAAATGAGAAAGTTTCCTATGGAATCCGTCCGAGGCGTGCTTGTATTATTATGTACTTGTGAATAATAATAATAAAATATAAACAAGTACACGGAGTTCGCGCCGGGAGATATTTAGTTGGTCAACCAGTTAGGTCGGGACCTTTAAAGAAGATCACTGTAATTTTAATCTCTTTACAGTGAATATATTCAATTAATATTGATAGTGTATTTATAAATTTGTTAATTGCAACTAAAATGTATAGTTCAAAAGCTAAAATTGTATTTATATTTTTTATAATAAATTCCTGTCAACATTTAATTGCTCTGAAAAATAACAATCCCACACCTGTGGTTCTGTGGCATGGAATGGGTAAGTTTGCACAAGTATGTGACAAATAGTTCAATTTAAAATAATTAAATATTGCTATATACATACTTGAGTAAGTCTGAAAAATTATAGCCACTGTGATGGCTGTCGGGCGTTATTTTCCACTCTGTTCTGATTCACATGCTGACCATGCGTCATTTCCAAGCCCAAGCGGTAAATTAAAAATTTTATTCTTCAGGTGACAGTTGCTGCTTTTCATTTAGTCTTGGAGCAATAAAAAATATTATTGAAGAAGAAATACCAGGTATATATGTAAAATCTGTAAAAATTGGAAATAATGTTATAGAGGTAATTACTTTTTTTTTAATTAACAATTAAATTAATTACAATAGATATTAAGTACTGTAATTTAATAAATAATTATTACTTACAGGACGTTGAGAACAGTTACTTTAAAAATGTGAATGAACAAATAGAAGAAGTTTGTGAAGACTTGGCAAATGATCCGAGTTTAAAAGACGGATACAATGCAATTGGATTTTCACAAGGAGGGCAATTCTTACGAGGCCTAGCTGAAAGATGCCCAATTCCGCAGATGAAAAATCTCATCTCACTGGGTGGTCAACATCAAGGTGTATACGGGCTTCCTAATTGCGGATCTTTGGAGCATAAAGCCTGCGATTACTTAAGAAGAATGCTAAATCATGGAGCTTACTTGTCTTTCATACAGAATCGATTTGTTCAAGCTGAATACTGGCACGATCCGCTGCAAGAAGACGAGTACAGGAAGAATAGTGTCTTTTTGGCAGATATCAACAATGAGCTCGTAGTCAATGAGGTAAAAATAACAATAAATTATTTTTTATGTATTAATTTTTTTTTTTGCTATTCACATTTACTTGCAAGTGACTACCGTGACTTTCTCAACTATTGACATTTTTAAAGATATAAGCTCATTCCGATGTTATACTCATCAAGACCTTTCATTTGAGTACCCACATTAACTTTTCATATATTTATATATATTATATATATGTATATATGATAAATATATGAAAATGCATGTGGGTACTCAAATAAAAGGTCTCGATGAGTGTAATGTCAGGGTGAGCTTATATCTTTAAAAATGTCATTAGTTGACAAGATAGCAAAGTCAGTTGCTTAATTATTGACATTTTTTAAGATATAACCTCATCCCGATGTTACACTCATCAAGAGCTTTCATTTGAGTACCCACATGCATTTTGATATATTTTTCATACATACATATATATATAATATATATAAATATATGAAAAATTGATGTGGGTACTCAAATGAAAGGTCTTGATGAGTGTAATATCGGGATGAGCTTATATCTTTAAAAATGTCAATCGTGCACAAGATACATGGTCATTTCTTAATTATTGATATTTTTTCAAAGATGTAAGCTCATCCTGATCTTACACTCATGAAGAGCTTTCATTTAAGTACCCACATCAATTTTTGATATATTTATATATATTATATATATATATGTATAAATGAAAAATATATAAAAATGCATGTGGGTACTCAAATGAAAGCTCTTGATGAGTGTAACATCAGGATGAGCTTATATCTTTAAAAACGTCAATAGTTAAAAAATTACAGTGCAATTTAACAAAATTACACTGACCACAAAATTTTGCTTGTTCTTTTAATAGTATCGATGATTTATGATTCTAGACCTATAAAGAAAATCTCCAGCGTCTGGAGACTTTGGTACTTGTTATGTTTGAAAACGACACAATGGTACAGCCACGAGAGAGTGAGTGGTTCGGATTTTATAAGCCAGGCCAATCAGTTGAACTACAGACACTTCAAGACTCTGATCTTTATATCGAGGTACTTGATTCTGAAATATCAAATAATAAAATTAAATTTCATTATTAATTTTTTATTTCAGGATCGTTTAGGTTTGCAGCAAATGGACCAAGCTGGTAAAATTCATTTTCTGTCAATACCAACTAACCACCTGCAATTCGACGAAGACTGGCTAAAAAAACAAATTATTCACAAATATCTTGTCTAAATAATCATCTCTAGTAGCTGTAATTTTTTTTTATTTCAATTTTATAAAATAAAAAGGGTTATTTAACTGAAATAGAGAGTTAAAATTTAAGGATATAAATATAAGCTAGCTAGAAAGTGGTGCCACCTTGGATAGAGAAACAACCGACAGATGTAAAGTACAATCTAAATATCAGTTGATACAACAGCCCGCATTTTAAATAAACACACCACCAAAACTAATCATCTAAAGATTTAGTTATCTATTTTCAATCAAATCAATTTATCTGGGTATTTAAATCTCTAGTAGTTAACATATAAAGCAATCATTGAATTGAACTAGAAGATCAGGACCATCAGTAGCGATCTATCATGTGTATCCTTCGGTCCAGCGCCCCGAATCTCAAGTGCCCTCATCTCACAAGGGTCTATCTAAAACTCAAGGGTCATCAGTGAAAGATGAAAAGGTCCTCGTAGAAGAATCAGATGTGCTCTTTACTCCATTTGCATCATCAAATTGTCTAAACATCCCACGTATCCACTAAAAAGAAAAAATAATTCATCAGGGTATAAATAAATCTCTACAATATAAAGCACGTATGTGTAGATATAAAAAAGAAGAAAAAAAAAATGATACATTTATGGATAAAATAATATAGAGACGATACAAACGCCTACTGTACGCGTTATGTTTGATGCTCCCATTAAGAGATTACATTATGACTTTCACTTTGTACACCTTTGCTGTTATCATTCCCCTAGTCCCCTGGCCCTCATCTTCATGGACGCGCACCCCCAACACTGCGTTAAGCTCCCGTATGTGCGGGATGAACTGTGTCCTTGGTAAAAGAGAGTTCGACATTGTGAGCCGTGAGCTAGCTAGGGGGGTCTCGCGTGAATAAATATGTTTTATGTAAAAATGTAACTGCCCTCTTCCGCCCTCTCACTCTTTAACATCCTCTTTTGCCTCTTTACCCTACACTCCTTTACTCTGCCCACCCTTTTGACTACAAACTGCACTACATCGACGTGTACTCCCCTTGCTCTTGGATCCCTCGTAAACACGGTCATCATATGATTACACTTTTTTCTTTCTCGCTCATCCGCTTTTCGCACCCTTTATCTCCCCTTTACTATTTTTTATTTTTTATCTTTTGGCCTTTCCGTCCCACCTTCCCCTCTGGACCATCTACATCTACATCTCTATAACTTCAACTGTTACCGCCTCCTTCCATCGAGCTGCCTACAGACATTACGTGATGAGATATTCCTCCGCGAGAAATCGCGTCAAGACTTTTGACGCCCTTTTTTTGTTAAACTCTATGCGTTTTTCTCTTCCTTTGTTAAGAGCTCTTGGTGTTACTTCTACTTGTTTGCTATTTCTTATTTTTTTTTTATTATTTTCAACTTTTTAACACTCTGCCGTTTTATTCATTCCATTTTTTTTATACTGCTGCTACTCTTGATTCGACGACTCGTGCTCTTTATATTTCTTCCCGTTTGTTATTGCTATTCTTGACAGCACGATTACGTTCAAGTTTTGCAAGGACTAGCTTGATACTGCGGAAATTCTGACAGAGGACAATTGAGTTTAGGTCTGCTTTTATCTTAAATCGCTTCCAAATTTCATTTATACCCAACAAATATCATCTGGATATTAAAACATACGAGATAGCAATGTCAGTTCTTGATTATTGATATTTTTAAAGATATAAGCTCATCCCGATGTTACACTCATCAAGAGCTTTCATTTGAGTACCCACATACATTTTTGATATATTTTTCATATATACATATATAATATATATATATATATATATATATATAT